AAGATGCAGATATTCGCAGAAAGATTATTTATATGGTTTTATACAACCCCCTGGTCAGAATTATGAACACTAATAAATATATTATATCTGTACAAATAAAAAACGTGTTCCATAACAAGATTCGAGGGCATAACTTTGACTAAGTGAATGAACACTTGATTGGTAATCATACATTTCAGGTAATTTATTTTTATCGACTTAAATATAAACAAAAATAAACATCCTTAAACATAAGAAATGCATGTGATGTGTAACTTAAATAATACGATAAAAAATATACATTTAGACATAATATTTTATTGAGTATTTGGAAATTTATGAAACGCTACGTATACCAGCTCGACAGTCTTCTTCATTTTTAAACGCTACGATACTTTCAACCTTAATCACACTCGCTTTGTTTACGTACAGTGTGTTCCCAGTTTAACGCCTCGGTAGATGTGAGCGACAAAGAATTTTTCTCCGCACTTGGCCCCATTTGAATAGAAAAGTAAATCCGAAAACTCCAAAAAAATAAACTTAAATACAAGAAATAACAAATACAAAATTATCACACACATTGATACATTATATACATTATATAAATGTCTAAAAAATTTATTGTGATGCCTAGTAGGCAATGGACGGGTCATCCCCTTCGGTATATTTTATTACACCATATTTAAAATTATTTTTTAACTTATATTTTTAGGTTTCATTAAAATTGTAATCCTTTTCTAGGTAAATTTACAGGGTGGACCAATTTCTGTACCTTTGGAGATTTTCTCGCATTTATCGAAGAAACAGACAAAAAAACATTGAACATTTCGATATTTTAATCCGTTGGAAAGATACAGAGCGTTTTAATTTTTTTACCGTTTTCTGTAAAGTTGAATTAGTTTTTGTTTTTTACAAACTTGTAATTTTTTACGAAAAATTCACAGCATTCATATATTTCCGTAGCTTCCGATCTTTTATTATAACCCAAAATTTAATTATTTTTTTAAAGTGATACTATGGTATCGTGCATTTTCTATTTTTTATACCTGCGGAAAATTTGCTCTCAAATCAAGTTGTAGGCAATAAAACATAGTTTTTACAACCCAACTGTTTCACGACAGACAGTTAACTATGCCATGGATGTATCTCGTGTATTCAAGAAAAAGAAGTCATGGCAAACTTAATTAAATATTGGAACAGTTGAATCACAGAAAAATGATTTAAATTTAGTGTATGCTTCATTTAATTAAAATATGCAGATATATCAGGTGTTTAGTTTTAAAAAATAAGTTCGAATTTCTTACAAATGAAATTTTTTTTTACGGAAAAAAATATTACTTTTACCCCCCTCCCCCTCTCTTAAAAAAATGAAGCAACGTACAGACCATGGAGACCACACAAGGGGCATGAACTCCATGTAAACAAATATCTTACCAAATTAGAGGGCGCTAGTGTCCCATATGCACCGAAATAGTGTAGAGGTAAAAAAAGCGTATAAATTAAAAATCATACTGTTTTTGTGATGTGTTTCGCGTATGAGTTCGTGCTCCTTGTCTAGTCTCCCTGGTACAGACCTTTGATGGTGGATTTCTTATTTCATATACTTTCTTATGTCATGTACTTTCTATTGCGTAGGGACGTATTGTGAAAATCCAATATGGCGGCCATATTGGCGAAGGGAAATTGAGCAATCACTGTGAATTTTCGAAATATCAGTACCTTCAGCAAAATATACAGTTATTCCATATTCTAGAAATAGTCAAAAACACACCGGTGCGCCAAAATTATTAACCTAGAACCTAAAAACCCTGAACCTAAAACATTGGTACATAAGGTTAGGAAATTTCAGAAAAGTACAAGATCCATTGGAGACTTTTGGTTATGATTTGGTGACTACATAGGGACCATAAACCGTGAAACATGAACACCTTGATCGCAAATACCTGAGCTGCAAGTTTCTTTTCAGTTTTTGAAAACATCGAGTATGTGTCGAATGGAACTACAATCTTAGTGGTTTCGATTGAAAACAGTTAACGTTATTCCAGTAGTTCAGAATTATCGAGTAATAACCAACCAAATCTAAACCAATGAATCTGAAACCTAGCTGCACAGTATGTCAAAAAATTTTGGCAATCGATTATTTATAGACAGAAATATGAAGAAGTTGTCAGTCAATTTTTTCAGCTTTCACCTAGTTATTAGGTTTTCATGATTAAAGTATTCATGTTTAATGGCTCTTGGTCTACTTGTAGTCATCAAAAGCGAACGAAAAGTGCCCAATGGACTATGTACTCTTCTGAGTGCATAATTTTCCTTTATGTACCTAGGTTTTAAGTACCTACAGCTTTCAACATTATTTAGTAATTTTGAGTACGGTCTATTTTTGACTATTTTTAGATCTTATATTGCTGAATATATTGAAAATTTTTACTCCCTTTCGTTAATAGGACACCATACACGGCCGCCATATTGAATTCCCAAAATACGGCACTACGCATTAGAAAGTGTATGAATGACATACTGAAGATTTTGAACTAAACGTCTTGGTACGTTGCCCAATTTTTGGATCAATCAATTTTGGTCAATGCGATATGGAATATGTCGCACAGAAAGATCAATTTTGCAAACATTGGAAATTTTCTGGATAAGTTATCCCATCTCAAAAGAGGCCAAAATTGAAAACGTTCTGTTTTGCTTAAATAAATTAAGATTTCAAGATGAAATTTTGTCGATTTTCTTCGGGAAATACTATAAGCCTCCAGAAGCATTTGGAGTTATTTTGAAAACCATGAGAGATAGACGAAAATCAATGTATACTTTCATGCACCGACTAAAAAAATTGATTAACCCGTTGTGTCACAGATGCTATTTGTTACCACTCGACTGCATCTCAAATTGAGTTTTCGAACAACAATGTTGGAAATGAACGGATTTACGACTTTTTTCTTCAATGCTACTCTGTTGTCATTGCCGTTTTTCGATCCGACATTAGTAACTTAGACACAGAACTTAGTCAAGATCAACATTTTTTTAAAAACCACTCTATAGCTCTGAAGCGAAAAGATCGTTATTTATAAGGTTTCCAGCGTAAATATCATTAAAATGACTTCGGTGGTGGTCTCTCTGAAATGCATACGTTATTTCTCCCAAAATAATGGAAAGTATTATTCTCGTCCACGTACGTCGAATATTACAGAGACTGAACATAAAATTAGGTAACATAATAAAAAGACCCAGTACGGCAGCTGTAAGAGTCCATTTGCTTTTGATTTCAATGCGTAAGATCGATAAAATTATTCCACAAGCACATTTTTTAAAGATTACATCAGGAAAATGTTTAATATACAAGTCGAAAAATGCTTCGTTTCCGAGATACAGAGTTATTAAATTTTTTTTTTTATTATTAATTATTTCAGAGTTTTAAATATATTGACTCGAGATTTGATGGTTGTATTTTATTTAGAAATATTGACAGCAACTTACTAGATAATGTATCAATAGAAATTAAAAATACTCAACTTGCAATAAAATATGTTTTATTTTTTTCCTCAAAAATGGTGCATCCTACGGAAAAAATTGAAGGGACCAATTTCATTCAGAATTGATAGCATATTTCTAAAAAAATATCATAACGGGAAAAAGTCAGTGGCGTACCATTTTTTTGTAATTAAAAAGGTGTGTTGCATTCTCGCACGAAGCTACTGGTGCAAGTAGAAATATTCGGATCACTCCAAAAAATGCACCTTTATCCCTCCAAAGCGGATTTCAAATTTCGAGTCAATATGAACTTTTTTTCACAAAATAACTTCGGGTACCACCCCTAAAATATTTCGCAGATCTCATTACCGAGTTGTTCTATTTAAGCACCTAAGTGACAAACTCCCCTTGCATCGGTTTTCTTATATCTCATAGGTTTCTAAGTAACCTCAAATCCCATTAATTGCGTTCACCCTGTAAATTTAAAATATTAATTTTAGAGTAAACTACCTTTTAATAGATTTACTCTCCTGTTTTCGCCAAAACTACAAACACTCAAAAATAATTTTTGCATACTCCTAATTTCAACCGTATTTCCTCATACGTAATTTCATAAATTTCCTGGTAGCACTGACTAAAAAAATATTTAGCACCACACTACACTTCGCCGGGCATCCTCCGTCCTCTCAATGCACACTCCTTAATAATACATATCGGTTTCAATTTTTTTTCTTTTTAAATCTGGCAGTAGCCTAGCTGGTTGCGATACTTGGCACATCGAATACTAAAAACGAAGGCACACTGTGCATATAACGCTTCCCTCACGCTCTCAAATACATATACAGGGTGATACAATTTCGCTTCGTCCGAACCGAACGGTAAAAAAGGTTTCTGTGCGGTTCCCGCGTGTAATGTGGCCTTGCGAAAACGCTTCTTACCTTTCAGTTTCAGTAGTTTCAGACTTTTGGTTCCTCACGAAAAAAATATTTCTTTAGCGCACCCTGCACACAATAAGCCAAAACCTGTTCGAATCATGAAGCGGGCCCGAGGGGCCCGTCACCATAGAAACAGATTGGAATGGATAATTACGAACTAGAACTTAAAATTACGAAAGTAACACGAATAGTTACAATTAAAGCACAGCCTGTTCATTTTTTTAACTGCAGTCACAACTGTCCATTACAGCACGAAAATCGCCTGGTTAGATCGAACGCCGCGAAAGTCGTTCGGGGTGAAACAAAAAAAAAAATTCACTGCGTTAACTTCGTCCAGAGGTAGCTAAGGTAACGTCCCACTGATATCTAGGAGATGACCCACGGGCAACCCAAACGGGCTTATTTACAAAAATCACAGCAGATACTCGAATTAAAGAAAAACAATAATAACAATCGATAAGACATTTGGCGGTGTCCGATTTAAATAGACGATTTCCATAGAATAATAACGTATGTTGAAGAATGCGCGATTCCTTTTTGATTCACGTCAACATGACTAATATCTATTGTATTTATCACATTTTGTAAATAGGTAGTACATACTTAGGGTCACTTGGGAGCTTTAAAGTAACGTAAGACTATATAACCTAGTATACGAAATACAAGTAAGAAGGCCAACAGGACGATGGTGTTCGCCCAAAGGGGCAGATATGTTCCCTGGGCTTCCAATATGGAGGTTACTGGTATGTGGGACGTTTTGGTGCAGATTTTGAATTTGGATTGTTCCGCACATCTATAACAAAAAAAAAAAAACGTGTGAGTAACTGGATTTGTTTGTAACAATAATAAGTAAGGCCGTAGCTCTAATTTCAATGAGTCGACCGAAGAAGCTGCGACCGTGCAGCTAGAACAATGCGTCGTATGATTCCACAAAAGGCACTACATATTGTTTTGGAGTCGGGATATACTAAAAAATATATTATCCCTTAAAAGCCAAATTCAATTGCGACGGCTAACACGATCGTAATAGGAAACTTGCAATATTTTTTTAATGTCTAGAGATAATCTATAACCTCTTATAGTAATGTACCTGACAAAAATATTAGCAATCTCTTAGAGGTCGTTAATAATTAATAGTCTAGGAGCCAGATAGGGAGCCACGGATGCAAATAACTTATTCTGAAGTATTTTGACCTCCTGAATCCAAAAAACTTGGTTGCAAAGCCTAAAGGTAGTCAGTTTAATTGTTATTAACAAATTAAATGTTTAAATGGCTGTAAAAAGTTTATTTTTATAGCTAGTACAATTTTTTATGGGTTAATAGTTACGTTTTCTCATAACAAACATATATTTTTCTGAAAATTAAAAAAAGAACTTTTCCGTCTCCGCATGTACCAATTTTACCATATCTCTGGTTCTATTGGACGAATTGAGACGCATGACATCTCATTTTAAAGCTTGAACATTATTTTACAAGATTGGCATGTTTCATTTGTTTAACAATTAATGGCAGCTTAGAAAGTTATGAAATTTCAACATAAATGCTGGTTTTATTTTTTTATTTTTATTATTCAACTTTGATGAAAAGCCAAAAAAGTTATATTGTTCCTCGCATCGTAACAATCATTTCATGCCTTAGGGATAGTTATTAGTTTTTCTTTATCAAACCCGCGAAAAGACGCGCGCTCGATCGAAAGCTCAGAGTGCAAGAACGCGGCGACGCGTTATAAACTTTTATTATTAAGAAGTCACAAAGACTAAATAATAAAAAAGCTTTAACAATTGATTTAATTGCTGATATTTATAAAATTTACATAAGTAATAACAACAATTGTTTAAAGAATTTAATTAATTTATTTATTTTTTAATAATGGGCTCATTATAGACATTTTTGCAGGTGCTTTCCCTTTGGCAATAGCAAAATGAGCAACATTTAATTTCTGCAGCCACACGAACACATGATCTTCTAGAGCATACTTTGCATGTGCGATTAGTGATGAATTCATCTGGTGGAGGAAGCAATGTTTAAATGGTGTTTGTAACTCTTGTTTAATAAATACTTTAACATCAAAAACATATAAGTATATACAGAGTGTCCCGAAATTCATGCAAGAAAATTTGATCACAGATTCTTAAGACAAATTTAGGGGACACGTATTTTTAATTTTTGCCAAGTGGCCCCCTCTTTCGGAGTTACAGCCCCTTGAAGTCCGCACCTAAGATGTTCTTTTTTTTTATATTTCGGAACCCTGTTGTATGAGATCACTAAATTTGCTACACAGGGGTTTTATGACATGTGGAATCTGATGATGCTATGTTTTTTGTCTCTTTATACTTTTTTCGTAAAACGCAATGGTTTCGAGAAAAATGTCAAAATGTGTTCGAATGCTTCGCCATTTTTCTCAAAAACATTGCGTTTAAGAAACAAGAGACAAAAAAGTTTCTAAATTCAATGGCTTTCTAGCTAACTAATAATTTAAAAAATTTTCGACCAAATTTTTCTGGTTCCAAAGACAAGGGGGTCCACGAAAAAGTGTCTTAAGGAGGTTTCTCGCCAAAAAAATTAGTGATTCTCATACAACATGGTTTTGAGATATACACAAGACTTCTTAGGGGCAGATTTCAGGGGGCTGTAACTCCAAAAGAAGGGGCCAGTTCGTAAAAAGAAAAAATACGGGTCCTCTAAATTTGTCTTAAGAATCTATGGCCAAATTTTGTTGCATGAATTTCGGGACACCCTGTATAGTGCACTTGCACTCTGCGTCTACTTCACGGGTTTTGATAAAGAAAAACTAATAACTATAAGGCATGAAATGATCTTTACGATGCGAGGAACAGTATCCGGTAACTTTTTTGGCTTTTCATCGAAGTTGAATAACAAAAAAAGCCTTAGAAACAAATAAAACCAGCATTTTCGTTGAAATTTCACATCTTTCTAAGCTGCCATTAATTTTTATTTAAAAAAATTAATCTTGTAAAATAAAGTTCAAGCTTTAAAATGAGATGTCGTGCGTCTCAATCCGTCCAATAGAACCAGATACGGTAAAATTGGTGCACGCGGAGACGAAAAATGTAAGATATTTGCAATAAATTTGCAATAACTTTGATTAAAGTTAATCCTTTTTTAATTTTCAAAAAACAATATGTTTGTTATGAGAAAACGTAACTATTAACGCATAAAAAATTGTACTAGCTATAAAAATAAACTTTTTACAGCCGTTTAAACATTTAATTTGTTGATAACAATTAAACTAACCACTTTCAGGCTTTGCGACCAAGTTTTTTGGATTCAGGAGGTCAAAATACTTGAGAATAAGTTATTTGCAGTCGTGGCACTCTGATTAGCCTGTCTCGCTCCCAGACTATAATATATATCGATCGAAAACGATCGAAAAATTCATTTTTTTTTATTAAACAAATCGAAAGTACAACATTTTAGGATCCCTACACTGTTAAAATTTTAAAGCGAAACGGTTTAGCTAGGGCTACTTTCGCAAACGTCGTTTACCACAAACTTCAAATTAATTTTTCTCGAAATGAAAATTTTTCAATTTTCCGAGCCGGCGATTACTCAAGGAATTTTTCAACCTATCGAAGAAAAGTACCATTTTAAAGGAAATTTAATTAACTAATCCACTAACCTAAATAATTTTGTTAAAAATAATTATTTAATAATTTTTTTTGTAAAAACAATGAAAAAAGTTTTGTAATTTTTTTCAAATGACCGCCATTTTATTAATACATTTTTTTGTACTTTTAAATTAGGTTCATGGACGAGGTATAAGTGTTATAATAACAAAAAAACTTCGATTGGCATGTTTCAGAATGATATAGTGGTTGTGAAACGTGGCATAAATGAAGAGAAAAAAAAAACGTGTCCTACGTTATGACTTCCATGCGCTTCGATTAATTTAAATTTTATCATAGAATTTTTTTTATATTTTCTTAAACTATATATAAAATAGTGTCAAAGTTTCAAACAATAATATTGTATTGTTTTCTTGAAAAAAAATCCTGAATTTCGCATTGATCCCCCTTAAGATCAACAAAATTTAACTTTTTTTTTGGAAGCAGAAACTTGAATATATATTTCCGAAGGATTTAGGTGCGCTGAATCCGAATCTGGCAGTAGAATTGCTCTATCACGTCAAGTTTTTGAGATATCCTAACCTAAATGTGCAAAAACACTGTTTTTCGTCATATTTGAGGTTATGTGGTGATGCCATCTATTCTTTTTCAAAAAACTAATACATTGAATCTAAAAGTACAAGGCTCCCTCCTTCGAATACCGTTGAGTTTGCTCAAATATCTTTTTTTTTTCGTTGAGATATCACATGTTGAAATTTTTAAGTTTCTCAGTTTCTTAATATGCGAAAATATACTGAGGATCCCTTAGACATCAAGCAGTCGATTGCAGTTCAGAAAGTTCATACCCAACGGTTTATGGGTTTGGAGTAAGCTTGGAGTTTGTAGGTTCGGGTTTAGTGGGATTGGGGTTTGTTGGTTTAGGGATTATGGGTTTGTGGGTATTGAAGGTTTCTGAGTATGAAGTTTCTGTACAGCAATGAACTGTTTGACGTCTAAGGGATCCTTATCGCATATTAAGAAACTGATGAACTTAGAAATTTCAACATTTGATATCTCAGCGAAAAAAAAAAGATATTTGAGCAAACTAAACGGCATTCGAAAGAGGGAGCCTTGTACTTTTAAATTATATGTATTTTTTTTTAAGAATAGATGGCATACTACATAATCTCAAATATGACGAAAAATAGTGTTTTTTGCACTTTTAGGATATCTCAAAAACCTGACGTGATAGAGCGGCCAGATTCGGATTCAGCGCACCAAAAATCTTCGGGAATGCATATTAGTGTGACTGCTTCTAGATCCTTGTTGACCTGTGTTATTAATAAAGTTTGGCGCGAAAATTAAATGTTATTAACAGATGTTTGATACGGCTAGTTTGTGACGTCATTTAGTGAAACAATTGAACTTGAATCCAGTTTCACGCACAATTTTACGTTGCTTCGTTGTTCCAGAAAATCGGACATTTGAAAAATCGGGAATAACACTTAAACACGCTGCCTCAAATAACAATATCACGAAAGGTATCAACATCCAAGAACATGTGATTACAGAAGAAGTTATGCGCAACGCAATGCTGCCAACCGTACATCACTAAATATTTCCATTAGCGCGAAATTCAAAAAGTTCGGTTATTCTCTGACCAGACTTCGTTTATACCGAGTATAAAGTTCCGCATAAAATTCATATCTTCTTCAATAATGTTTTTAAAAACTTATGCAAAAACACGTTAAACAAAAAATTCAAACAAAACGTTTGACATAAAGATTTAAATAACGGTAAATCCACTGGAAGAAAGTATCATCTATGATAACAAAAGGCTCAAAATTGGATGCTAAATGCAAAAATAAAAAAAATGTAGGAGTTGCCTTTGCATGTTTAGTTCATCAGGCCGCTATTTAGGCCAATATGGCTAACGTGCCTACGTCAAAAGAAAGCTAATTAAATTTACTAATTGACGCATAATTTTATGCGGAACTTTATACTCACCCAGTATATTAATGACTACCTATCGACTATGCAAACTACATAACAAACACCGCTTAAAACAGTATTAGGAGTAAACGTAATACATGCTACTTACTTGATGGGCAGCCCCTCGCCGAACTCGATGATCTGCATGTTCTGGTAAGCGTAGTGGACCATCGACATGTACCGCATCCACGTGAGCCAGGCCGGTATGTTCGTGGCTAGGTAACCGCCAAACAGTTGGGTCGCCAGCGTGTAAAGGGCGCTGATCGTGATGCTCACCTGCATGTCCATGCAGCAGGCGCCTATGAAGAAGCCGACGCTCTGCGCCACCACCGTGTTCAGCAGCAGGAAGCCCAGCAGCGTCAGGAACACAAGCGGCGAATGGAATCCTGGAAGAGAATCAACGGTTTGATTTTCCGTACGAACGGAAACCTAAGACTGGCTTACCTAGCATCGGATATGATATGAGATGGTAAACTGCTGGGAGTGTCATCGTTAACGGTAGCTCCCCTATCATTTTGGCTAGGTAGTAAGCTGATAATCTGTAGGCCCCCGACTGCCTTTCTTTGTTTATCACTTCTCGTTCTGGGGGGACTAAAACAAGAACGAAATTAATTTCTAAAGCCGCTTTCTAACGGTGTGCGTGTGATATACGCTCGACTCGATAGGCGGTTCTTGAAGTTCGCTCTAGTAGTGGTCGAACCGAAAGAAAACAAATTGTGGATTAAAGATGAGATTTTTTTAAAGATTCGTACTGTTCCAACAATTATAAAAAAAATTATTCGTATCAAAGATTCGCACCACAAATAATTTCTTCATTCAGTACGGTTCTGAATTTATTTTAGTACTTACATATTTCTAATATTATCTACGCCGCATGTGTATTAAAATACTTTTAAAAAACGGCAATACAACAAATGCGATATGAAATATACAGGGTGTGGCGTGTATAATCTATAACAATTTAACTACAGCTTCCTGATGATATTTGCAATAGAAAACTTTTATACGAAAAAATTCTATCTTCCCGTTTTTTATTGTAAATTAAAAGTTCATTTATTCAACGAAAATGAAGGCCGACCCTATGTTATTTACTAAAAACTTTGGAAATGTTTTTATGCGACCCGAGGTGCAACCTTATAATTAAAGTCGGTATAATTTAATACTAGTAATACTAAAAGTAGGTTAGGTTACATTGTCAAAAAATTTGTGCAGTCAACTGATTTTGTATTTGTATTGAATTCATTATCACTTAATTATTAAACATTAAGCACCGTCCATCGACCCATCAGTGTTAAAAAGTGCAAAATTCCAGACAAAAGTTTTTATTTTGTAATTCCACGACCGTGACAATGTAATTTTTACAATTAGCTAAAAAATAAGAATAGCGTGCCGATTACATTAAAAACGAGATTCTTATTTCTTACTTTGCTTAATTTTTTAGTTTGTGCACAAACTAGTTTTACAACGAACTGAGAAAACAATGCATTTACTATTTCCGAACGTGTTGATATGGTGTTAGTGTATGGTGCAGCCGGAAAAAATGCGCTCGCGGCGACTAAGATGTAACGGGAATGATGGCCGCAACGTCACCACCCATGTGCAAATACAATCCTACAATGCGTTCAGCGGCTGTGAGATACGGGAAGTGTTATTCCTCGAGGAGGAGAACGTGGTCAGCAAGTGAACCTTAATGTTGAAGATGGAGTGTTGGAAAATCTTGACGAAGACCCCACAATTAGTACTCGACGACTCGCACTGCAAGTAGGAACCTCATCTCGTACCGTATATCGCATCTTAAGGCGCCAGCTGTTGCACCCCTATCATCTGCAACCAGTTCAACAGATTTTACCCCCGGATTATGATCAGCGAATGCTCTTTTGCAGATGGTTTTTACGGCAATGTACCTATCAAGTAGACTGGGTGCGTCGGTGCCGTGCTTGTAACCGCGCTAATGGGTATCAATTTCAACATTTTCTCTAAAAATCGTAAGTTTTATTTCATTTTGTTCCATATTTTAATGGATTTTGCTTAGTGCACGCAGTTGGCAACTACAGATGCTTAAGGATGTGGTTTTGTTTGCGAACTCTTGTAGTAACAACAATGCATTTAAGATAGTAATTACTATTAATTAATAAGAAAAGTTTTTTTTAAATATCTATTTTTCTTAGTTTGTACTTTTGCATTGAAAACCAAAAATTGAGAAGCATCTTTCTCTTTGAATGACGATTTGTTTACGCGGCTGGTCTACAGCACGTTACTCATCGTACAGCACACGTACAGGACCGTTCCAGAGAAAATATTTTGATCCATAATTGAACTTTAATTTACGAAAAAAAAAAAAAAACGCAAAAATAAAACTTTTTCGTATAAGACTTTTCTATTACAAATATCGTTAGGAAGTTGTAGTTTAATTTTTATAGATTAAACACGCCTGTATATCGTCATGGTCCGCTGCTGTAGATCAAAAAATTAAGGCGGTTTGGAGAATATTCAGGGACGCAATATTATCAGTATGTTTCTGTCAACATCCTTGTACATTATGGACAATTTCGTCGTTACTTCCAATAAATCTGATAATTAAAATGGAAAGAGATAATAATAATAATAACTTAAAAATTAAAACCTTCAACCGTAACAGAAGCAAAGGTATTAATAACTTACTCTATTTAGTACGTACCGGACATGTCGAAAAAATGTACCAACGCCCCTTTTTTGGGGTAGAAAAAAAATTGAAACGCAATACTGTTTTTTTATGGACAAAATATTCGTATTCAATTCTCAGAGAAGCAAATATTTAAAATTATGAGTATCCCGCAAGCGATAGTCAGTCGGACACAAGCCCCAAAAAATCAAAGATCTTTACTTCAAATGGCACTTATAAATTTTTTAAGTTAAATGTAGTAAAATTCAAAGTGTTGCCTTCGAAAAAAAAGGACAGCGTGACTGCCGACAGTTCAGAGTTATTAAATATGGAGTGCTACACGAAATAACAACGCATTTCCATTGTTGGGTAATATTTTAAAAATAATGTGGGTTTGACAGCTATAGTGCAATTTTCGTACAAAATATATGGTCGGAATAGTGATTTAACTTCATCAACTGTGAAGAGATTCATTGAAAAATCCAGGGGGACAGAATCAATTAGTACACTTAAATACTCTGGTCGTCCATCGGAGTAGTTCGTGAGAGTTTTGCTCAGAGTCCAGGGGTACCATCGTGGTCAATAATATGACATTTGGAGAAGCTCTCTACAGCGTTGCCAAGTCAGTTTTAAGTAATTATGAGTTTTACTTTAGTTTCCATTACGCAAACGTGGAAACGTGTATGTATATTTTATTCTGAACTGTATTTTCTTTTTGCGAAAGGATATTACACCAGTGACTTGTATATTAATAACGGGGAGTAAGTATACTAAAATGACCCATCAATACAGTAACAATGGATATGAAGGTAACGTATAGAAACGGTGATGTAAACGAGAGTTAGCAGCGCGGCAATTTCCAAACAACCCTACACCAGCATATGTAAACAGAAGCTGAACTACCAGCGGAGTCAGCGGTTCGAAAAAAGTGTTCATAATATTAATGTGATAAGTCAAGATATTAAAAAACCAAGAATTTCACATATTCCCAAAAAATAATATTCAATCATCAGGTATGAAGCTGTTTTATAGTCTATCCTTCTTGTTAACTAGTTGGACACTGCTTTCAGACATATAAATTTATGATATGTTAACTAGTTACTTCCTATTTTCGTGTATTCAAAGCAATAAAGAAAATATTTTGTGTTAATATATCACTTTCTTCATTTTTTTCGAATATTTCTGGAGCATTTTTGATACATTTTTAGAAAGACCTCCCGATTGTCTAATCCAGAAACTTATATTTAACATATTATGATCTACTTATTGTAAGATATTGCAAAAGAGATATTAACTGTTATTTTGAATCAAAACATACTTACAAGAACTGAGAGCCCCGAAATGCGCGAACAACATCCAATACGTGGTGGAGAAGAACATCCACCCCTGAATATCGTGGAGGGCGTCCTCGTTCCTCTCCAGCTGAAACCAAAGGAGTCCCGCCAGGATGCCCAGACCTATCGTCTGGACCCAGTACAATTTGGATAACATCCTGGGCCTCGCCTCCTGGAAATTCCTCTGCGATAATACTTTGAACTGCGTCCAGAAGCTGGTAGGCCACGAGAAGTAACAGTCCGAGTCGCTCGTCTCCGAACTCACCGAGGAGGAAGCGTGCGAGTGCGTGTCCAGCCACAGCCTTCGGACGTCTGGTTCCACTGAGTTTAATGTGTCTTCTACAAAAATGGACACAATAGTTATTTTTTAAGTATAAGTACTATTCCACTACAAAAGACTGACACTGTGTAAGACAATAAAATTCCATCACTGAAATGGAGGAAACTTGGACTCACTTCAGAGGGTTGCTGATGGTTAGCGCGTTGATGATCAATGAACTGATGGTCGCGTTGCTATGTTTGCGACTTATAAGACAACATCCAGCTTGTTGAGGCTTGCAAATGACAAGTTCTTCATTCAGCGTGTATTGTGTATAAAATCAGCACATTCAGCGTCAGTATCTATCATTTAGCCCTTTTTTTGGATAGATACTGGCAACAGGGCGCTAACAATATCCAGTATCTTTAGGCTTGCTTCGTCGGTGCCGTTGTTGCGGCACATCTTTAGAAACGTACTTAAAGCTTGATTGTTAAAACAGCGATGAACATCTACGATCATTGCAAGAATGTAATACATTATATTTAATTTAAACGTTCTGCAAGGCAACCCACGTTCAGCGTTCGGTGTTGCAAAACGTCGGCGTTCATCGCTGTTTTCAAATCCAAGCAAGGCTTTATCCCTGTTTCACACAAACGCTGATTGACAATGCGATCATCAAAAGCACGTGGACAATTGGCAATATTTAAAGGCGCACTAACCTGACAGACATCATATACGTTTTCACAATTACGCTAAAATAACTGCACTGCAAATGAAGATTTGCGATGATTGGTGCCGTTTGCAAGCCTAGACAAACTAGAAATTAGATATGGCAACAACTATTTGTCGAATCTCATTTTACTGAGTTATACATATTTTGCGCTGTCTATCAAAAAAAAAACATCATCAACGCGCATACCGTTAGCGTTCGTCTGGAATAATGTTTAGTGTAGCGTCCTTTTTGTAATTTATACTGGCACAAAATTGTTTTAATAATGGAATAGTTTTCATTGATTCTATTTGTACAACAGAATGCAGTATGTCAGTTACAACGGTTTATATTTAATTAATTATCGCAATTTCTAGACTACCTCGGGGGTCTACACGTGGCCCGTTACTTTTCGTATTACTTATTAATGATCCGAATAAAGCAATCAACTGTACATTATTTTATGCAGATAATTTAAAAATCTATTCATCGATAACTAGTTAGTTGTTGATGGTAATAATCTAAAGAGGGAACTTGACAGTATAAAATCCTGGTGTGTAAAAAATAAACTACACCTTAATCCACGTAAATGCCTAAAGACCTTAAGTTTTTCTTGAAAATTATCTATCTGTGAATTTAATTATACCAATCATAACGCTGTAACATCCCGACTTGACTCTTGAAAGGATTTGGGAGTATCGTCTGAGCAAAATTTTAATTTTATGATCAGTTAGTCATTAAAACAAATGAAGCATTGAAATTTTATGGATTTATAATTGAAAACTGCAGCTTACTAACGTAAATGCTATTAAAACTTATGTGCGTTCTGGGATAGAGTATGCAATGCTTGCTTGGTATCCCCTTTATAACACTGTGGAAGTTCTTGAAATATTTTTTTGTATTTAAAGATATTGGTGTTTATATTGAGAAGGATAAGTTATAGTGCTTTAACTGGTCTTGATGTTTAATAGTTTAAAAACTAGAACGGTAACTTTTTTTATAAACTTCGAAACAACTTCATCGATTGCTTTGATTTCCTTACTACTTTTAATTTTTGTGCACTTACGCCAAAGTACAATACTATCCAATCTAATGTTTTATTGAGATCACCAGTGGATGCCATGTCTGATAGTTTTAAGTGATTGCAACGGCCGAGTATATTTTCCTTTGTTTTGAATAAAGACTATATAATGGTAATAGTGTAAAATACTTATTTTTAAATTTACAGGGTACTTCCGAAAACAGTGGTCATACGGCAAGTACAGATTCGTCAGACGAAAAAACAAATGGAATATAATTGGGTAGTTTTATTTTAAGTACTATTCAAATATAAGGAAAATGTATAAAACTTATCTTTTTTTAATGAAAGTCCATTCTTCTGCTTTTGTCCGAAATAAACTTATCAATTAGGTTTTCATTAAAGTTTGGTATTTCTCGCACCATTGATTTTTGCAAAGGAAATAATATGTAAGTAATTGAATTATGTAGATGATATTGCGCCCCAGAGAAAAATGTTCTTATAAACATAGTTGTTAAAATGTTAATTTTTCCAGATTCCCAGATAGTCAATTAATATCTTACACTTCTTTTTTTTCCTCTTTTTGTCTGGTAAATTCAGTTCCTCTCTAGTGAAATCTAGCAATTTTAAAATCAAAGACTTTTTTAACAGAATCAAGAGAATGCTCGGAAATGCAGTTGTTTTCCTTAAGAGATCAATAGGCGGGGAAAATATTTCTATCCCTTGAAAATACAAATACGATCGCCAAACTGGATGTCGCGTTAAGTTTCGTTTCTAGATTTTACGTTCAAAAATAAGAGAAAAAGTTTTAATAAACACAAGTGTGATGATTCTTTCTAAGGTAATTAGAGAACCTCAACTGTGAGGCCACCCAATCTACATTTGAATTGAATTTGAACTTTCCTTTCCCGTTTTTTCTGAACAAAGAATATAGTGATGGAGTTTGGAAGTCTAATAAAGAGACAAGGTGTCTCGTATACATTTCAGAAGGTATTATCATGTCTAAGTAGAAAAAATTATTGGGAAGTACTGAGGTTAAAAGGAATATAGTAGGATTTACTAAGGACTTTCAATAATTTATGGAGGAATTACACTAATTTAAAAAAAAAGAACAACTTTCAAACAGCCGTTTTTAAATTAAGTCAAATTTCCTTCAATTCACTTATTTTTACCTGAGAAATTGGTTGATTTAATTCGATATGAAGGTAACTTTTGCAAAAAAAAAGAGTTAGATAATAAAACAAATATTGATGTTTCAATACCGTGGACTGGACAATTTCAATGAATTAATTAACGAAAATATCTTACGTTCTAGACTTGGATATGGCCCGTGCGAAGCAGGTACGATTTTGGTAGAATGGTCGTTATATTTATCCGTGATATATTGACAATCTTGACTCAACTCAACGGGATAGTCCTTGTTCTTCCTCGCCTCCTTAGCTGCCAATATAATCCTTTGTCTCAATTCCGAAGGTCCTTTGACTTGTTCCACTGCGAAAATAAAAAACGAAATTCGGGTTAAATACCCAGTAAAACTACAATAAAAGAGGGATTTTGCAACGACAGCGTATCGTAAAGTCTAAAAATATTTTTAATCGTCTGTGATCTTAACCGATGCGATTTTCAGCATGATATAAATATTATGGGAAATAATTCCGCTGCAGTAAACTAAATCCTGATTAGCTGAACGCAATTAAGACTAAAGTAACAAGAAATAAATTATTAAAAAGATGAACTGAAAAAAGACTAAAAAGGTACTACGGTAATATCAGGTTTGTTGATGAAAACGCGTTATATATATAAATCATCCGTAGACAAGAAATGTAAATATTGACAGCACAACTTACGTATAAAATCCGCAGGATTATAATGGGGCATAATATTCAGTCCAACGCTGCTAAAGAAGTCGACAACTTTGCATGTATCACCATAATAGGCCGTCTGGCCACTGCAGAGGAGAAGCAATTTATCACAAAGATGGAATATCTGCGACGAAGGCTGATGGAGCGTTATAACTACTGTTTTTCCCTCTGAAACCGCGTACCGTTTCAGCGTGGTCATAAGGCTGAGGGCTGCGTGCGAGTCCAAGCCGGATGTCGGTTCCTGAAACAAACGCATTTTTACTTACGAAAACACACCCGGTATCAGTCACCAATTTCACTATACTAACTTTGATGTCTAGGCCATAAACAAAGCTGAAGTTAGCCGAATATCACTTTTCTAATAAAGTAACACTGAAAAGATTTATTACGAGAAAGACACTTTCATCGCTCTTTATCTCCAATACAACAGTATTGTTTATTTCAAAACGCTTCTAAGCTACTATGCAAAAAATATACCTTGATGTTAATTTGTGGCTTTAAAAAAGCATGTCATATTTATTGAAGCGTAACTACAACCTTCTATTGATAAATGAGGAATGCAAGAGATATTTGAAAGATGAAATAAATTCCCGATACACAAAATTTTGCTTTTGTTTCCTATATGTAGAATACCATGAATCAGTTTAAACAGGAAAGGTAGAAGGCAAGAGAGGAAGAGAAAGGAAGCAACATTTCTGTATCTTCCTTCTATCTTTCAACAGCGGTAAGACTAAGAGGAAATAGTTTGGAAGAGAAGAGAAAGAAAAAGAGAAGAAAAAAAGCAAAGTAAAACTATAATAGATGGATCAAAAAGAGGGAGGAGAAGAAAACAGATATATAGAACAGATCGCAATTAAAATAAAAATATAGAGAAAGTATTATTATAAAAAGGCTGACGAAAAAAAGAGAAGAATTAGGAAAAGAATAAAAGATAGGACAAACTTTTGAAATATACAAAACATTTTCTAATTGAAAAGATGTAGAGGAAATAGTGCGAAAGTACCCAAAACAAAATCATGTTTCCTTCATATAGATTAGAATGAGGCAGTTCAGAGAAAAGAGAGACACATTTCAGATATGAAAAAATAACTTAAAAGAGAAGATTTAAAGCAAAGAAAGGAGGAAGAGAGATTAAAAAAAGGAATAAATGAAAGAGGAGTAGAAGACAACATAGGGGATGGAGAGATTAACAAATATCAGAGAAAATAGGAGGACAAGAAAAGGTAAAGAAGAAAGAGTGATAACAGCAGAGAGAGTATTTAAGTAAAGACGAATAAACAGAAAAATCGAGGATATCTCAAAATTTAAGAAAATATACAAAATCTATAAAATAAAACTCATATTTTATATAGAGTGTAGTTTAAAACAGGTTACAGAGGAATGAGAAAATATCAAAGTGTAATGAAATGAAGGATTAAGAAAGACTAGAGAAGAAAATTNTATTAGAAAGATAAAGAAGGGAGAAAAAGCAAAGAACAGAAATAAAAGGAGGGCAAAAATGAAAACGAAGAAAGAGAAAGAAGCAGATGGAAAAGAGAAGAATAAGGAAAAGTAATAACAGTAAAACTTTTATGATAAAAGACATGCGTAGAAAAAATGCAGCAGAAGTGTTACATCTAGTTTTTTATATACATTCATTTTTGTTTAACTCTTTAAAGTGATTTTCTTTTATGGAGACGAATAAACAGTAAAGACGAATAAACAGAAATAATTATGAGGCTAGTGAGAACAGAAAAATCGAGGATATCTCAAAATTTAAGAAAATATACAAAATCTATAAAATAAAACTCATATGTTATATAGAGTGTAGTTTAAAACAGGTTACAGAGGAATGAGAAAATATCAAAGTGTAATGAAATGAAGGATTAAGAAAGACTAGAGAAGAAAATTGAAGAAACAAAAACGAAAAAGACATGAAAGAGAAGAACATCAATTTGCTTAGAAAAAAACTAAAAAATACAGGAAAGAGAGAAGAAATTAAGAAAGAGAAGGAAAGCAGACAAAATAGGAATACAGAAAAGGTACCTAATATATACCGAGACGTGCATAAAAGATGAACAGTGATGAAGAGGCAGATGAAATGAAGGAAGAAAAACTATGGGGGTGAATTCCTCTTCGAAAAATAGAGGGGATGCTGAGTCTAAGAGTTGTTACTTTGAGGAAAAATTTACATTGGTTTCATTAAATTGGCTAAAGATAACGATGTCAAAATGTGTACAATAATAAATATTAAACGCGTCTTATGAAAAACGTACAAACCATTTTATTTCCAACAACAGTGGCGTGAATGTGGGTAGTCTCACATTCACGCCACTGTTGTTCAGCTTAAATAATTGAATGATAATTATGCAAAATTTCTTAGACATCCTAACGGCTTTGTAACTCTCAAGACACAATGCAAAAAGTTGAATATGGACAGGATGTAGACTTAAGGTCTCTACCGACCGAGGGGTAGAAGTCAATGTAGAAAATTATGTTACAATGAATTCACTATAATTTGACAACACCATGGAACACCATGTACAGTAATAGGTAAATATTCATTAAGTCTTAAATTTCCTAATTATGGTATCTTATTAACCACATAAATATGAGTAGGTACATCCTTCAAATTATCACTCATATACTAGGAATATTTAGAGAAAATATATCTATGAATATATTTTCCTTTCCTAGGATTAGGAACACATGTGGCATGAGAAAAGTGACGTTTATTAAACTCCTTCTTGTAATATCCTCCACTGTAATAAACTTGTAAAACAAGGTATTGAATTTTAATAAAGCTAGGTAATAACTTACATTAAAATGCGTGTTTAACGAGTAACAAGTTCAGGCTCCGTATTGCTAATAAATTTAGAACAGCCAGCAAACTTTATAACGAACACGAAATAACTACTAACTTTAATTATAATGAAAACCTATTACACGTTGCACATGGCGCTCCTCTGCGGTAATTTGTCTTCGTAGCTTCAGAATCATCAAGAATGCGCTTCACCTAAAATTCGTCGCCTAGGAAACTGGTAGAATGTCAGCTATTGTTCCAGAAAATTACAAAAATAGCCAAAAATGGATATGATATTTTGGTGCCAGAAAAATCGAAGGAACGACATACATTTTTAAATTCAAAGTTCAAAGTCTGGTGCACCTCAAACAATCAGAGTACTTAAAGAGTTCCTCAAGTTGGCGGTGTGAATATTCCTTGCTGAAAACGGCCCTATAGTCCAGGAGAATTACACATTGACATGGCTGTTGCTTGACGTAATTTGGATATTAGTAAAAATCGCTCGAAAATAATATATACAATGAAAATATAAGGTTGCGTCAAGAAAAAAAGTTGTGCTATTTGCAGGAAAAATTAAAAACTGCAAAAATACTCAGAAATGACGTGTTTTTCTAACATTTTCCAACATAACTTCTTAAATATGCAGTTTACAGAAAAAACTATTAATAATGAAATTGTTTGTTATGAAATTTGCTACACGATAGAACTATTTTGATACATGCGCATATCATATTTTTGTTGCTAAATAGCCAAAACAACGTAAGAAGGTGATGAAAATCGAGGTAATTTGGAAGCGTCAAACTGACAGGCAAGAAATTGTCCAATTCTACTATAAATGTATATGTAAATACTCTAAACGATTACAAAACGAAATTCCAAAACCCGATCAAAATCGGTCTGATAGTTTTGGTACGAGACAATTTGTTACTAAATTTCAGCGCGAAATGTCGTTATTTTTTTGTACGTGAGTGCTGGGGTTAAAGTTAGGGATTTTAATTGGCGGCGATTTCTTTACACATACTTGGACACCTTAACTATCATATAGAACCGTTATAATATCAATTTTCTTTTTTTGAATAATTTTTGGTGCCATTTTAAAAGTTAGAAAAATTTTGTCTTTATAGACAAATACTTTCGTGAAGCGGTATTGCGGGTTGGAAAATATATCAAAGTACTAAAAAACAGTTCTCGGAAAGACGCTTAACAGCAACAGCCATGTCTCGAAGGTTTTGAGCTTAATTCTCTTGGACTACTATCGATAAAAGGCAACATGAACATATACAAATTTGAAAACACAGATTTACATTCAACATTTGTACTCACATCAAGAAGCATGAGTGACGGATTAGTTAGCAGTTCACATGCGATGTTCGCCCTCTTCTTCTCCCCCCCGCTGAGCCCCCTCTTCATGTAATCCCCTATTATGGTGTCCTGACAGTTCCCCAGCTCCAGGACCTCGATTATGTGGTCCACGTACTGCATCTTTTGTGAATGACTCATTGTTTCAGGTAATCTCAGTCTTGCTGTGTACTCTAAAGTTTGCCTTAGCGATAAGTCCGGGAAGAATATGTCCTGCTGGAGGACGTAGCAGATCTTTCTCTTCCACCTCTTGCATAGCGGATCCCTACGGAGACACAGTTGTCTCAACCAAACTGATATTTCCATGCATTTAATATCAATTAATTAGTACACGGGGTGTAACAGTGACGTTGCGATAAACTTGAGAACTGATTCTTCTGCGGTTTTAATAATTTAATTAAGTCCAAGATTTTATGGACTTTGAACTTGATATAGCGCAGTGGGAATTTTCAGAGACGTCAGTGGTTATTGTTATGTTGCAGAGGCTTTTCTTTTACAAATTACAGATCATTTCCTCTAAAAACTTGTGTTCCTCTGGAGATTTCTTTTAGTTAAATCGTCCATGTCAATCTGTAAAAGATTCTCTGCAGTGTCAAATGAAAGTGAAACTCCCAAACTTTTCTAACTGACAAACTTTTGATAAAATTTTATTTGTGAGTAGCTACCATGAGAAACTTCACTGTATCAAGTTTAAAGTCTGTATCTTCAATGGTTCTTGAGTAATTTTCTCTTAATTCTCTTCAGAAAAAAGGGAAAAATACTCTCATCTGTTTTGCCGACCAAAGGAATTAGTTCTGGAGGTTCATGGCAACATCACTGTTACTACACTTTGTGTTGTTATTTAAATAGAAAAAATTCTTCTACGAATGAAGCAATATCAAATATGATTCATCTGCTAGCAGAGGAAATACGAGGGCAGATAAAATTTGACATGCAATTTCTAACAATACAGATTATGAAACATATTTTCAAGTTCAAACATTTTGCTGTTTACATTGTCTCTGAAATCTTAGACGATATCAAAGCACAGTCATGTGGGAGAAAGATATAATATTATGCTACTAACATCTTAATGCTACCTAAGATTTTGAGGATATCTAAAAATGATTTCACATATCTTTCTCTAATCAAGAACTAACTCATGTGTACATTTTTCTCTGGTAAAATTTTCTTTATCTAATGCAGGTAAGGAGAATTTTCTAAGCAAAAGTATAGCATGAAGAGTTTGTGGAGGAAATAGAGAAAGAAAGGATGGGGAAAAAGAAATGAAAGAAGGGGGAGAAATACAAGAGGGAAAGGAGGAATGAGAGATGAGGGGAGATATATTGGAATGGAATATAGAAATAGGAAGAGGGGGAAGCAAATCAAAATTATTAGAAAGATAAAGAAGGGAGAAAAAGCAAAGAACAGAAATAAAAGGAGGGCAAAAATGAAAACGAAGAAAGAGAAAGAAGCAGATGGAAAAGAGAAGAATAAGGAAAAGTAATAACAGTAAAACTTTTATGATAAAAGACATGCGTAGAAAAAATGCGGCAGAAGTGTTACATCTAGTTTTTTTTATATACATTCATTTTTGTTTAACTCTTTAAAGTGATTTTCTTTTATGGAGACGAATAAACATGGATCCACTTAATAATGAAATAAGAAACTTATATGAAAACTAGAAGTGAATGAAGAGAATGGAACGGGGACAAGAGCAGAATCGAGAAATAAACCGATATATAGAGATAATACTCTTGTAATACCACCCCTCCGACAATTTATCTCCCTCCGTTCACTTTCCATCCCTTCACCCTCACCTCTAATCAAGGGTCACCACATTTTTTTTCATGGTAGGTAACTGTGGTGTGGTCTGCAGGAATTAAATGATTCACAATCAGTCTTCAGTGAAATTCATATGGCGAGGCTGAGTCAGGGGTGAGGGTCAAGTGAGGGGGGTATAAAAGGTGGCAAATTGTCGGGGTGTGGAGGGTTGGGGGTAATGGTAGTCTGAGAGTAGGAATATGTTGGCCAATACATATGATCAGTTAAATCCATTCTCAATCTTCTTCAGGGCAGTATTGGGGGGAAGGGGTTTGATGGTCTCGGTGGTAGTGGGAGGGGAGGGGTTAGATGGTCTGTGGCTGAAGGGTCACAGGGGTAGTTGTTTGTGGTAGCCGTTGGTTGGACTGCAAGAATAAAAATTGTTTCACATTCAGAAATCAGTTATATCCCTCTAGCCCCTTGGGGATAAATTTTTGGGAGGAAGGAGGGGTTATAGGGCTTCGTGCCCATTGAGACTTCTGACTTCTACATATTGAGAACTATCAACCTACAAAATTTCAAGAAAATTAGCAGAAAGCCATTTTTTGATTCACAATGAAGACGACCTGGGGACAGGAAATCATGTATATTTTTACAAAAGAATGAACTATGCTTTTTTGACAGCACAAGGTAAAAGTACGATCAGTGTATTAAAAAAGCGGTGCTTACATAATATACAAATTGTTATACAAATCTGTATTCTATATGTTTCAATCGTGATTGAAAGAGGACAGAAGAGTCGAAGTACTGTGCGAGGCGTGAATGAGGAACGAAGAACTATTCAGTTTCCCAAAAATAACTGTTACTTTATAAAACACCCTCGTAAAACCTCGCCGCTGATTAAATCTGAACCGACCTCGTATCTCAAAACAACATGCTAAAGCTTGACGTGTGAAGACAGAGATACCTCCGTCGTCATCTGGGAAAGGTAATCGACAATCATCGCCTACCTGTTGAGAAAGATCTGACCGGAATCCAATTTCAGGCGACCGCTGAGTGCGTTGAGGAGGGTCGTCTTTCCACATCCGCTCGGGCCCATGACGGCCAGGATCTGGCCGGGCCTGACGAGTCCATCTATGTCCTGGAGGATCGGTCGGTTGCCAGCACTGACTGTGATGCCCCTGAAGGCTAGGTGGACTGGAAGCGGACGCTGGTCGGTGAGTAGACTTGGAAAATGTACTGCTGTTGTCTCTACCCTGAAAAGGAAATTATTACCTTAAGTTTTATATCGTTTGATGCTATTACATATTTTTATGATAAGAATGTTAAAAGACAACTTGATAAAAATATGATAATGAGTAATGAGTAAATAAAAAACAACTATTTACTAGTTTAAAATGAATTTAAATATATTTTGCTAATAGCTCTTGTGCTTTTACTTTATTTCGAAAACTTTAAGCTAATTCAAATAAATCTACCAACCAATATAACAACACGTGTGTAACAAACAGGGTGTCCCACGGTGACAAGACATTAGGCATATTTCAGAGACTACTTCGATTTTAATTTTGAAAATTTGGACAATAATGTTTTCAGACATGCCCTTCTTAACTATGTAAAATAATAGCGCCCACCTAACGCTTCCGGTTATGCCAGAAATTATTTTAGTGGAACACCCTATATATTTTTGCAATGTTGAATTCTACGTCAATTTTTAGGTGAATTTTCATAAAGGTTTCCTATTCTTAAAGTTATCCGTTTTTAATATATTTAATTTTTTCAAAAAAATTAAAAAAGCACTGCCTAATTCAAAAAGATGTATATTTTACAATAATAAAGTTAGTGTGATAAAATTTATAGGGGATATAAATAAAACTCTAAGCTTCCCTAACATAATTTCAAAATAATATAATTTCATACAGGGTGGTAGAAATTTAATGCCGAATTTAGTCAACTTTAAACCATCTTAACTTATATTTGTTTAAATGGAACACCCTGTATATTCTTGCCCAACCTGATGAACAATTTTGTTCTCTTTCGAATGGCATAATGGTTCCCTATAACTATCTCTTCTGGTTTTTAAGGTATTTACTGTTTTTCATGCAGTCAACGGATATCGCATTATTTCTTGCGAGGATTGCCGCAAAATTTTTAGTGGAACTTCAAAACAAGCACCTAATCTGTCACAAGTTTATTGTTGTCAATTTAATACATACAGTGAATGTTTAATTGAGTATTATTTATTGTTAAAGAATGGAAAACATTAACATTTATTCAAATGCTGACATTCTAAATTTATTAGGGTGTTCCATGTAAAATAACGTCAATTTCCGGTATATCCGGAAGCGATAGGTGGACGCCATTATTTTAGTTGAGAACGGCATGCCCGAAAACACTATTACCAAAATTTTCAAAACTAATATCGAAGTACTCTCTGAAATACGTCTAATGTCTTGTCACCTTGGGACACCCTGTATATGTATAGCGTCAACATAGTGTTGAAAATTCATTGTTACAAATGCACTAAAGCTTGTAAATAGGTGATTCAGCTTACACTTACTAATATTAATAATACACAGGACCACAAAAAAAATCGACGAAAGGTCTCCTCGGCCGAACCTATCGTATTATATGTTTTTTGGGTCGCTGAAATCGAATCTGCAACTCATTTGGTAACATCACGTCAGAGTTTTTTTCAGTGTCTAATTACATATATATTATAATCAAATTAGCCTGATAAATAAAAATGGTGGCTGCGATAACAATAATTATTGTTTTGTGTCATTAGATTTTTCATTTGACACTTAGCGTTAAACTGTTAAATAAAAAATACATTTATTTATAACTCAAGAGTATACAGACATTGTCATTTTAAATGGGTATTCCAATGGGAGCAGCCCGAGAATAACGACGAAGATACCCAAACAGACATCAACCTGCCCAAAGAGGAAAATGATAGATTTTTATCAGAAGCACCTGATAATAGATTTTTGCTACAAAGGTAGTTCAAAATAATATAAATATATCGAGTTAACTAATTTTGGACAACTTTTCAGGTCATTTTAATAATTGTGTGTTTGTGGAGCTTTGAGAAGAGATGAGCTACTACAGATAACGATCGATGATATAGAAGACAAAGATGCAATTATTATTATGAGAATTCCCGATTCCAAAACTCATACTCCGAGATGTTTTGTGATTTCAGGTCCAGATCAAATGAAAATATATCGCAAATACTGTGCGTTGGGCTGTTACTACAAGTCGAAGAGTTTTTGTGAAGTATGTCAAGGAAAAATGTGTTAACCGAATGGTTGGCGTCGACAGAATAAGGAATGTGTCAAAAGAAATATTTGAATTTGCCTCGTCCGGAAACTTATACTATACAGGGCACTGCTTTAGACGTTCTTCCGCCACTCTGTTAGCCGACGCAGGGGCCGATATTACCACCATTAAACGACATGGAGGGTGGGGTTCTAGTACGGTAGCGGAGACATATAAAGAAGATTCTATACAAAATAAAGTTTCAATCGCAAATAAATTGTTACCATGTTCAACAGAGCCTACGGAACTTGCCAATAATACAACGTACGCAGTAAACTTGATCAATTACAGACAGACACCCAGAACTAAAAGCTACGATAACTGACAGCACTGGATCTAGCATAAATTTAACTCACTGCAATATCGGCACTTTCTATTTACATGTAGTGAAAAATATATTCTAATCGTCCTGTTACTGTTGTGTATTGAAATGTTATATTACTTTACCCATTAGTGGCCAAAGGTGCGTAAACGCACCCTTTTATTTTAATTTTTTTATCATCCGTAAAATTCTATGCTTTACTACCTACAGAATCTTATGCCAACAGTCCAGAGAGTGTACTAGTATTTTTATTTAATTAAAAATAATATTGTTTTAATGTTATTTTTTTTAAGGAAATATGGTAATTCAAACTTTAGAACACATTTTCAAACAAATATTTTTCTATGTTAGCAAAAATGAGCAGACTATTTTTTTTTGAGCCAGGCGTAACTAAAAGATAACTATTTTGATAATCACATAGTTGTTTTTTACTCACGTTGTCAAAACGATGGTCATAGTGATACATATATGTAGTGGATGCGTATACGCACCTTTGGCCGATAACGATTGACATATTTATTCACTGCTATGCAAGTCTGGACAAATCTCGGCATATAAAATATAGGACTTGTCAGAACATCTATCAGTTCATTATTAGCACAGTGTACTTCTCGGTTTTCCTTTGTGTAAAAAAGTGTAGTTTTGTATAAAATATTGTTTGACCTAAAGTTTTCTGTAATCCATAATAGTTATTTTTTCAGATACATCCAGTGTCAATACGAGGTAAGAGATTTTTTATTTGTATAGAAGCTATAGAGGTATAATTTTGTTTATATTATTGCAGTCATTTGTCAAAATGGGAAATGAAAAGGGCACTAACCACTAGAGAGTTATTTGCTCTTTTAGAAGAGGATTCAGATTGTGAAAATGCTGAATCGATTGATGTTGCTTATGTACCGCCAGAAATAGATAAAATTACAGATGAGGAAAATATGATAATACTATTCAACAAGAGGGATTGCAGACGTATATTTCAGGAACGTATGAAATACAATCAAGTACCTATAGAAGATAGTGATGATGATTCGAAAGATGAGGTTTCACTGAGCGAAATTTCAGCTAAAATTTCTTTCGGATTTAGTACTCTCTTTGCGGAAATATTACGGAGATACAGAAAACACCGATGTTGTTTCAAATACCGCAATATTCAACTGAACCCATGGAAGACCATCTCAATTCCCTCTACCAGGTGAAGTCAGATTTGACAAGAGAAAGGTAAATAGTGCAAGAAAAAGTGTCGATTTTGCAAAAATAATACTATTTATTTATGTAAAGTGCATTTGTATCCAGCTTGCTTTGAAAATTTTCACAAAAAACTAATTAAGTTTTATTAATTTTAGTATACGCACCAATGTGTTTTTTTTTTTCAAAATACTGTATAGGATCTTTTTTAATAGTACTTTAGTCTTAATGTATGTGTTTTGAATATACTTTAATAAAAAGAATAATTAAAAAATGTATTTTTTCTTGTCTTGGCCAGTAATGGTCTTAAAATGTATATCGTTTAATTAATAAAATCATAAATAAGTTTCGAAAAAAATACATATTATTTTCATATCTATTTTATGTTCTAGAACATAAAAGTATTTTGCAGCTAGATGACAAAAAAGACACTTTGTTAACTGAAAATTTAACGAAAATGTCGACTTTTGCTGACAGTTTTCGAGAGACTATATTTTTAAAATACTTGTAACTTCTAAACAAAAACAAATCGGACCTATGTTTATATAACAAAAAATGTTTGAAATTAACCCAGCTACCATCTGTTAAAGTTTGTCATAGAGCTTGTGGAACACCCTGTATATTTGATATCATTCAGAGGAGCAACTTTAGGTATCTCGATAACAAGTACAAAAAAAACAGGAGCATATTCATTACTTGAGGAATAATATGCTATAGAAATAATATGCTATAGAAATAATCTAGAATCGTCTAATAAATGAAATATTTTAGACGCCACAGAATTTTAGCTTTAGGCTAGAACTATGAGACCTTGTAGTACAGTGAACAAATAAAAGTTAGTTTAAAGCCGACTTGCAAAGGTATTCTTAGATTTGGTGGACTGTATATACATATAAACTATGGGAAAATCGAATGCTGAAGATACTACACGTAAAATGGTAACCATAAGCGCAATCATGCCTTATCCGAAAGTTGATATAGATTATTTGTAAACTATATCTTTCATTGGAGACCAAATAGAAAAATCAGGAGGATTGCAGTTCAGACTTCTGAGCGGCACGCACTGGCCGAGAAAAATGCGGTGGAGCTCCGTCGTGCATGAACCACGTCACTTCGTAAATAAAGTAGAACTTCTTCAAGCCGTGGAAGCATTTTTACTTGGCCACTCAGAAGTCCGGACTTCAATCATCTTGATTTTTCTATTTGGTCTCGAATGAAAGATATAGTTTACAAATAATCTATTGACTCGCATGAAGAGTTGTGGCAAAGAATACAAATCGCTGCCAACGAAGTCAAACGCAATCCCAATAGTGTCAACGGTGGATTCTTCATTTGTTTTATTGTTAATTGTTGTAATAACAACACTTAGTTTGTTTCGCTTTTAATTTCTCGTACTATCAAAACATAGTGTTCGTTAAATCGATTTTTCTC